TCCCTTGTGCAAGCTTTTGGTTTGTCTTGCTCTTCTTTTTCTAGGAGATTAAGGTTAAGCATTAGGTTGTTTGTTTGAGCTTGCTGTTTTCCTAGTATGGGCATTTACTGCTATGAATTTCTCTCATAGAACTGCTTTCATTGTGTCTCATACATTTCTATATGCTGCATTGGAATTATCATTTAATTATAGAAACTCTAATTTCTTTAATTTCCTCTGTAGCCCATTGATTATTCAGCAGGGTGTTATTTAATTTCCATGTGTTTGTGAAGTTCTTGTGGTTTCTTGTGCTACTGATCTCCAGTTTAATTGCACTATGGTCTGTTAATATACAGGAGATAACTTCAATTTGCCTTTACTTAAGCATGTTCTGTGAGCTAGCATGTGGTCTCTTTTGGAGAATGACCTGTGTGCAGCCAAAAAAAATGTATATTCTGATTTTGTCAGGTGGAATACTCTGTAGACATCTACTAAATCCATTTGTTCAAAGGCTTGTTTCAATTAAGTTATTTTGTTGTTGATTTTTTTTTTGTATAGATGATCTGTCTATTTGTGACAATGGAGTATTGACGTCCCCCACTACAACTGTATTAGTGCTTATTTCATTTCTTATATCCCTCAATATTTGTTTTATATACTTGGGGGCATTAGTATTTGGTGAATATATATTTATGATTTCATCTCTTCCTGTTGTATTGTTCCCTTTACAAAGATGTAGTAGCCTTCTTTGTCTCTATTAATTAGTTTTCATTTAAAATCTACTTTGTCTGCAAATACAATAGCTACCCCCACTTTTTTCCAGGCTTCTGTTGTATGGAGAACTGTTTTCCATCCTCTTACTCTCAGTCTATGAATTTCTTTGTGAATTAAGTGGGTTTCTTATATACAATATATTGTTGGATTTTGCTGCATAATCCATTCTGCCAGTCTATTTCCTTTGATTGGTGACTTGAGGCCATTAACATTGATGGTTATGACTGATATGTATTGATTTTCCATTGTCATGTTATTTTCCAGTTGTTGGCTCTTTTACCACCCTCCCACACACACTTTATTTTCTTGTATTGCCTGGTGTATTTGCTCCATTGGGCCTTATGGAGTTGTGACCTTCATTGTCTTTTTCCAGGATATTATTTAGAATTGTTTGGAGTGATGGTTTTGTGTTCATGAAATTCCTCAGGTATTCTTTGTCATGGAAGTATATTACTTCCCTGTCAATTTTGAAAGAAATATTTGCAGGATACATCAGTCTAAGTTGGAAGTTATTTTCTTTTAGGGCTTGAAATACCTTACTCTCAGCTCTCCCTGTCTTGAGGGTTTGTGTTAAAATGTCTGCTGTGATTATGATGGGCTTTCCTTTGCATGTGATTTGTTTCTTTTCTCTAACTGCTTTTAATATTTTGTTCTTCTGTTGGGTATCTGGGATCTTTTTTTATTTTTTCTGGGTCTTGATTATTATATGTCTAGGAATAGAATTTTTTGATCACAGCTAGTTGGGGTCCTATATACCTCACTTATCTGTATGTCAAATTCTTTCAATCTGTTTGGGAAGTTTTCTGTCATTAATTCTGTTAATATATATTTTTTAATGTCAGTTGTACTTTCTCCTGGTATTTCATGGATTCCTATCTGTCTTATATTATTGTTTTTTGTATCATATAGGAGCTGTTGGTTTGATTTCTCATGATCCCTTACTGTTTTTAAGAGACCTCTCTTTTAATGGTCACTGACTGAAATCCTAGCTTCTATACGTGATATTCTATCTTCACATTTGCTTTTTATGCAAATGCTTTCAATAGGGTTTTTAATCTCCTGGATGTCTATTTGAATCTGTTTTATGGATTCTATTTCTTTCCAATTTGGGGCATTCGTGGTTTCCATCATGGTCCTGAGCTCATCTATTTTTTAAACATCTGTTTCTGTTCTAGCATCTCTAATCATGTCTTTATTCTACTCACCATCTCTGTGGTTACCTGGGAAAGTATTTCAATTTTGAATTTTTCTAGAGCCCCATTCATCTAATTTGTTACTTCCTGTGTGATCAGTTCAGGGAGTCCATGTAGTTGACTGTCAGACTTTTCCACCTCATTTCCCCCAGAATTTACCTTTGGTGAGCTGCAAGTCTGTGTTTGTGCCTTGTTTAAATGTCTTCTCATTTCTATTTTTGTTGTTGGTACTGTCCTTGTTTTAATTCACGGGTTCATACTTTTTTTTTTTTTTTTTGGTACTGGGGATCAAACTTGCGTCTTGTGCTTGTCAAGCAGGCACTGGAACCACTGAGCTAATTACCCAGCCCCATGGGTTTGTACTTTGATCTTCCAGCTATAGCTGGTCTTTAGGTTTTGGGTTTCTAATTACTCTGAGACACTATCATTTTCATAATCCCAGGAGGAACAACTGATAAGATCAATCATAACACCTTATTCCAAGTGATAAATCAGAAACAACAATAGCATCAAACATGGTTTAGAAAATGACAATTTGTGGTAGTTATTAATCTATCAGTTTTAACCACATGAATTAAATCAAAATTGAGGGCCAGCCCAAAATATGTTCATAGTGAATAAACTCTTCAATACAGAATCTTTACCCTTTAGATGCAGACTTGGAAAGAGTTGGGGAGGGAGGGATAGGTAGATAGGATAGGGAAAGGTTAGAAGTGAGGCCAGAGAACACAGGAAGATCACACAAACTCTAGGAAGCTGTTGAAGATAAGAGGAGAAGACAGAACAAAATATACACAAAAACAAAACAAACTAACAGGTATAGGGAGGCTAGAAACTGTAATCAGTTTCTTTTAAAACTAATGATGATTGTGAGAAGGAAAAAGAGAAGAAAAAAAGAAATAAAAAGTTCAAATTAGGCAGGAACAGGAACAAAAAGGGAGAGAAATAAAGAACAAGAAGGGAGAAAGAGAGGGAGAGAAAGAGTGATAGGAGAGAGAAAGAAAAGAAAAAAGATAAAGAAGAGAAAAAAGGAAAAAACTTGAGAAAGCAAAAGATAGATTAAAAATTTAAATGATTAAAGGTAAGAGAAAAACATTACTTTAAAAATAGAAAATTGAAGTAGAGGCCTCCTTTAGGGTTTGCCTCTGTTGACGCAATATACAGAGGTGGCAGGAATGTGCAGATTTAAGCTAATTAGTCTCAGCAAATCAGCAGCTGTCTCTTGAGGTTTAGGCTGTTTCTGGCTGCATTGCCCAAGTTGAGATCTCTGACCTCCTGTTGGGTTGACTGATTGGCTTCATTGTTTTGGGGCCTGTTCGTGATGCAGTGTGTTATATTTGCCAAGAGTATATATCAAGCCATTCACTCCATGGTTGGGATATGATGGAGAAAGAGGTCCATGTACTACAGTTACCTTGGAGGGCAGAACCCCAGTGACTTAAAATCTTCCACTAGGTCCATCTCTTGAAGGTTCCCACCACTCTCCAGTAGCGCCAAGCTGAGGATAAACCTTTTAACACACGGGCCTTTGGGGGAATCTTCCAGATTTAACCATAGGATTATTCTCTCTCTTATCTTCTTTACTCTTTCCTGCCCTTCCACAAAATTTACTGAGGCCTTGGGTGATATTGTGTGTCTGAGTTGAGGCCTGGCTTGGGTAGACAGGACGAGGTTTAGTTTACACAGCAGCATGCATTGTATTTTTAGGGGAAGGCTATTTCAGATATTTAAAAACAAATGGAATCTATTTTAAAAGAAATCCAGGCATATGTATATGTCAATTGGAAAAGAAATCTAATACCATGATAGAAACCAGGAATGGCATAGTAAATGGCCTGAGGCATAGACTTTAGGTATAGACAGCTCTGAATTTTAGTTTAGCCCTGAGCCTCACTACCTATCCCCTCCTGAGCATCTGACTTAATTTCTCTCTGTCTTCTTAGTGGGAGTAATGAAAACATTGATCTCAGAATTTTTGTGAGCAGTGAATGAAATAATATGGATGGTAAAATACTTAGTACACAGTGAAAATGTCAGTGGTTTTAAAATTATTATAAATATTCTAAATTATTAATAATAACTGATGTTGAGGATTCAGCAGTTAGAGTTTAGTTTTGTGGAGGGCAGAATTCGCTCTGGTTTGTGTAAGTAGAAGTAGATTAATTTCAATGTGTTAAATGGTTTTTATGATATTTAGAGAAGCTGAGGAAGCTTCCTCCTAGCTGAGTTCTTGGAACTCAGAAAAAGACCTATAGAATTTAAGAACTTCTCAGAACTTAGAGAACTGGTTCACCCCAGAAATTACTGCCTTTTTTTCTGATGTAAAAACCCCTGGGAAGTAGGGAAGCTGCTGCCAGAACCACTTGGCTTTGCCATAAATAGTAGGCCAGAAAGACCTAGAAGGCACATGGCTAAATTGCTGAACTGTCTGTGTATGTATTGTTTCAAGGCCTACGCTAACCCTGCATGGTCAAGAAACAGCCAGAAATGCCAGGCTTAGAGAATCATGCCTGTAATTTCAGGTGCTCAGGTGGCTGAGGTAGGAACATCATAAACCCAAGGCTCACTTAAGCAACTTAGTGAAAATCTGCCTCGAAATAAATAAATAAACAAAAAGGTCTGTGGCTGTAGCTCAGTGGTACAGTGCCTCTGGCTTCAATCTCTGGTACCACAAAAAATCAAACCTGTCCAGAATGCCTGTGGGAAGAGACACCAGAAACAGGTTCCACTTCATTTCCACCTTCTAAACCTCAGACCAGTGTGCCTGATTTAGGTGGTACCTAAGGTTTGCCTGTGAACAAGTCTGGTTAGTGCAGTGTTAGATTTACAGACTCTGCAACCCAAGAGGGTTCTCCAAGAAGAGTTTCAATAAATCAGATGAATTGCTGAGAAACCCAGTTCTTCTCACCTTTCTCATTTATATGGGGAGGCACTTTTCCAGGGAAATAGCCCCAGCCACTCCTTTCATTTATTATTTACTCTTATTCATGGGAGCAGTTGTATAACACCTAACTGTGTATTAGAATCAGATCCTTCTGCTTTCTCTGGTTTCAGGCTACAATCAGGAAGGATGCATCCTCCTCTTTTCCTTGCCATTCAGTCACCCCAGTCTGAAGGCTCTGCTCTTACGTGCAGTGGTCTGAAAATATCCAGGTATGAGAAAGCTGGGGGACAGATCTGTCTTATTCAGGGGTAAAATTTCAGCAAGTCCACTTCCTACACATCTACCCCCTGTGCTTTAAACAGCTTTATTATGGGTGAAGCTCACATTTGACCTCCAAGTGTCTGACTCATGTTCAATGCAAATGATTTTAGGAGGGAGGGTGGATGTTATATATTGACCCATTAAATTTCCATTATATAATCAGGGCATGAGCAGATACGAAAAGAATACACGAGTCACTATAATCTGATGTCTTTAACTCTTTCAGGAAGATACTTAAAAAGGGAATAGTGTGGAAGTGGCCTGTATGTCCATAAACTGATGAATGCATAAAGAAAATGTGATTTTGATACACAATGAAGTACTAACTATTCCAGTTATTCAAGGAATAAACTTGAGTAATTTGTAGAAAAATGGGTGCACCTTGTATCCATAATATTAAGTGAAATAAATCAGACACACAAGTTTAAATATTTCATGGTTTATCTTACATGAGAAACCCAAAGCATAAATAAATCAAAGAACAAAATAAAAGATAGACAATAAGAAATTGGAAGATAGATCTTTGGAAAATGGGGAGAAGACTATGAGATGCTGGTGAGGAGAGGCAGAGGCTGTAAAAAGAATCAAGATGTGCATGTGCATGCACCAACTACTCCCAAAGAATGAATTCATTATGTATTGCAAGCATCTACAATAAAAGAAGACAAAGAATCAATCATCAAACTGACAAACTCCAGTCTCAAAAACATAAATAAAAACTTTTCATCCAACAAAAATAGTTAATACTCACTGTATGAAATAATGTCGGTTAAAGAGACTCTTTGGTAGGCGTATAAATTCATCTGTCTGGGAAAAGATTTTGTGACATGTATCAAAGCCATATGGTTTATGCCCATAATCATATATTTCAGCAATTCTCCCAAGGGCAAAAACATCAGTTATCAATTTCAGTGTCATTTAACATACCAAAAATATATGATTGCTTCCAGTTTCTAAAATAGGGTGCTTATTAAATAAGGGCAATACATAGAATGTCTTGATGTCATTTGAAAATATATTTGGATATTTGAGGACATCTTGAAGTAATCATATATAGTATGGAGCAAAGAACATTAAGAAGCAGTAGAGAATTATCTTCATTTTATAAGAATATAAGTACCTATGCTTACATATAGCGATATATGCATGTGTATATATATATATATATATATATATATATATATGTATATATATAAAACTACATACATAGTGGATATAAGGATGCATATATGTGGAAATACATTATGATGTCCATGCTTTCCAAGTTTTCAACAATAGTAGGAGAGCTGGGGCAACAGAGATAGGACAATCAAATATATTGGTGTTTTGGGGTTTGAGTTTCTGGTTCTTTCTGCCATTTTCCACTCTTTCTGGTTTATGATAAAATTGCAGTCTGTGAAAAATGATTTTCTTATTTTGATGTGTTTTTGGTGGCTTTTTGTTTATTTATTTATTTTCCCCATTAAGTTTATTGGTACATTTAAAGCAAACAGTATAGCTATGTTTATCATTGGGATCTTGTACCTTTTCATGATAGGTCTTGGTTCTTATTTTTTTCCCATACCCCTGCCCTCCATTAGCCCACTTCACCCTTCCCTGTTTATAAAGACTTTGTTTCCATTTTTTCCTTTTTTCACATTTTTTCTTTTCCCTTATTTCCTCTCCCCTCCCCTTTCCACTTCCCCTTTAGCCATTTTCTTCCTATTTCACGCTCTCAGTTATACCATTTGAACCTTATTTATGCTTTTAGTTTCATACTGAATAGTTTCTCTGGTGTGAAGAACTTTTTTGTTTATTACACAAACAACTTTAGAGCCACATTAACAAAAATGAGAACTTTTGCTGGTAATCCTGCCCCCCAATAAATTGGCTTCCTTTTCTTCATATTTCCTGCCTATTTTAATCCATATTCAGGCAGGATTTATTCCGACAACAGTGTTCTCAATATTCTTACAACACAGGCATTATTTTCTACCTTTCAATTTTATTTCAGTTTGCTTATAGTCAGCAGACTTCTATCGCCTGTCTGGGTCTGGATCTTTTGGGCTTTTTCTGGCAGTCTTTTGTGGCTCTAGGAGGTGTAGCTGCTTCTGGGCCAGACGTGACCACAGCCCCTGAGGTCCAGGGCCTCACCTGACACTTGGCTGGGAGAGAACTCTTGGTTAAGGTGGCACCACTGACAGGCTGGGTTACTCACGGCACCTTGTGTAGTTACCTTGTTGATGGTCCTATACTTGTTTTTAGACTCTAGCTTGGATGTTGAGCCTGGGCCAAACATGTGACCTTGGCTTTGCTTTAGACGATGAGCATTAAGGAGTGGGAGGTAGCCAGCAAGAGTTCAAAGCTCCTACATTTCTGACCCTTGTCTCAGCACTTGAGAGATATTTCCTGCAGCTCATCTCATAGCCCAAAGCATAGAGTACAGAGTTAAGGAGGGAACTTGAGCATCAGGCCGTTCTGTATTGCAGTGCCACTGTTTTCATTTACCTGATGTGATATGGCTTAGACTATGATTCTTTGCTATGGCTATAATTTAGCTTCCTTAATTGCAAGACAGAGATAACAATACTAATACTTACCTCCTAGGGTTGCTCTGAAGATCAAATGAGATAAAATGTACAGAACCCTCAAACCTGTGTTTGAAATATAACTAGAGCCTGATCCATGTTAATTACTCTCTTGTCTTTATTGACAACAATTCCAGAATGAGAGTCCTTATCTTCGGTTTACAGATGAAAAAGGTGCAACTCATATAACTCGAGTGACTTGAGTTTGCAAAGATGGTAAATTGAGTGTTTATTACTGATAAAATATTCAGCTCTTTATTTGCTCTTTCAATTAATTGAAAGAGCCCCAATTTTCCAAGAGCTGTCACTGGCCAATGCAGACAACTGACTCTCACAACCCCTGCTCAGTGGTTCTCAAGCCTGGCTCAATATTTGAATCTCAACATCCAAATCCATCAAAATTCCATTAAATCAGCATTCTGGGCATAAGAAATGAGTTCCACTGCTCAACTAGCTTACTTAAACATTAGTGATGGAAACATTTACTACTAGTGGGTAGAAGAAGTGAAGTTCTGAGTGATGATCAATGGCATCTATGTAACTTTTTCACTGATATGAGCTTTATGTATTGGCTATCCATGCTAACTTTGCTAAAAATTGTTGGTAAGTTTGTGGGCTTGGGATGTAGCTCAGTGGTAGAGCACTTGCCCAGAATGTGTAAAGCTCTGGGTTGCATATCAGTACTGAAAGAAAAGCTAAGTTTTTATATTGAACAAAATGAGTAAAATAATTAATTTTGTGCAATAAATTCCAGCTGCATTCTATCATAAATACTGCAGTTTTGTAGTTTCATTAAAAAATAAACTAATGATTTGAAATTATATGAAAAGTCAACATGTACTGAGCATTTATTTTGTGCAACATGATATTTATTATTTGTTAATTCTTTTATGTGTGCTAATTATATTAATCAGCTTGGGTGCCTAATAGAGTGTCACAGACTAGTGGTTTAAACAATAGAAATTTATTTTCTCACAATTCTGAAGACTACAAGTTTATGACAGAGGTTCAGGCTGATTTGGTTTCTGACAAGGGCTTTCATTTTGGCTTGTACTCCCTGACTTTCTTAAATGAGGGCTGAGAGAGATGTTTGGTCTCTTTTCCTCTTCTTCATATAGCCACCACTCATCTCACTCTGGTGATTGTATTTAGTCCTAGTTTCCTCCTAAAAGCTCTGTCTCCTGTTGTAGTCATGGTTTTGGCAAGGGAATACATTTAATAAAGGACACATAATTTATAGGATTATTTTATGATATTTACCCACAAAGTCAAATGCAGAGGAGTGCAAGAGATTAACCACACACTAGAGGCCCAAAGAATCCAGCCAAGGACCTGGATCCCACAGCAAGTTCCTACGCACATCCAGCTAAAGGTTTAGAGTCCAAGGCAGTGTCCCCCAAGAGTCCAGCCAGTGGTTGAGCCCATGGCAATGTCTCATGCACATCCCGGTTGAGGATCTGCACTGGAAAGGCCCAATGGCCAGGGGTGGAAGCCAGAAAACCTGCAGCAGTGGGATGAAGGATTTGTGCCACCAGACTGAAGGATCTACACTGGAGCCAGGAAGTGATGCTCATGGTGAAGATCAGAGCTCCCCTGATGAGAACAGCAGCCATTCCCAGTGAAGGCAAGGCCTCAAGCTCTTCCTCTGACAAGAACAGCAAAGCTCGCATCAGAAAAACCATCAACAGCACACTTCTAGAAAATCAACAGCCCATGGTTTTCCCCTGCAGTTCTCTTTTGATGGCTATTGGCAACAATCCTCAGGTGGCTCTTCCACACCCAACCACCCTGATTCAATTCAGCTGGTGTTACAAGGTGACCATTCGTTAATCCACCACAATCCAAACATAGTTATGTTGGAAGTTAGTGATTCAAGATACAAATACAAATCAGTTCATAGCACCACGTTTTTTCAGCCACAGTGTAAGTTATTCATATTTTTTGGATGAGAAAACAAACCTGGAGAAGTTAAATAACATGACCAAAATCATACAGTCTGTGTGACAAAACCAGATTGAGAATCCACAGCTGACTTTGATACATCATATACTTCTCACTCTAGCCAGAATCATTGCCTGTATTTATACAAAAAATACTTTCCCTTTTTGTCACTGTAGATTTTATCTGTAATTTAATTTCTTTATAAATTTATTTTAACAAATTAGCAAAAGATACAAACATACTGTTAATTTTTTCTATCTTGTTAATTCTTATTCACCACATATCAATTAGACAGTCACTCTGTTTCATGTTATGCATCCCAGATTATCAGATTCATCCCTGAGAATGCTCACTTCCTGGAGAGAGAGAGGATAGTAAATGAAGAAGGAACACCTAGTGGGAAAACTCCCATGACAGTGGCCCAAGTCTGCCAGGAGGCT